AAAAAAGACCTGCGGATTGATCCACGCTATATTTTTGGGTAAATACAATCACGTGAGGGCGGGCAGCCAATGGCACCCGGGGAAAGGCTGAAAAAATAATTACCTGCCCTGATTGTTCTATGAGAAGATAAAAAGTACACATACAGTTCATACAATAATCTTATGAATGTAAAAGAGGGGGGAACCATGTCGGCGTCGGGCCCCATAAGCAACTATTATGTAGACTCCTTGATAAGCCACGAGAACGACGAGCTCTTGGCCTCCAGGTTCCCCGGCACTGCCTCCCACCCGGCTGCAGCCCGAGCGTCAGGATTAGTGCCGGACTGTGCCGACTTTCCATCGTGCAGTTTCGCCCCCAAGCCGGCCGTTTTCACCACCTCGTGGGCTCCCGTGCCCTCGCAGGCGCCCGTGGGCTACCACCACCACCCGTACGGCCCGCAGGCGCCCGTCGGGGGCGAGCCCAGGTACATGCGGACTTGGCTGGAGCCCCTCGCCGGGGCCGTCTCCTTCCCGGCCTTCGCGCCCGGCGGCCGCCCCTACGGCCTCAAACCCGACGCCTTCGGCGGGCGCCGCGCGGAGTGCGGCCCCGCGGACGGGCGCGCCTACGCGGATTACATGTACGCGGCTCCCGGGGAGCTGAGAGACAGAGCCGCGCAGACCCTGCCTTCCCCGGAGGCCGAAGCCATCGCTGCCAGCAAACACAAAGAAGAAAAGCACGAATTAGACCCTAGTAAGTCGAAGTCATTCTTGTTTACGACCGGGGAGGCATTACAGCTTTCCAGTACCGTACTCAATAAAATGGAATTACCTTTAGAGAACCCCTGCCCTAAAACTCCAGATATGCAGGAAGATCTGTGTTTTTTTTTCCCGCTCTCTCTCTTTTTTTTTTTTCCTTTTTTTTTTCTTTTTCTTTCTCACTATATATCCGCCTGGCAGGACCGCAGGAGGAATATCTGTACTTTGTTTTGGGGCTATTTTATCTTCTTTATCATTATTTTAAAATCTAATTTTCCTTTTTTTTTTTTTTTTTTTTTTTTTTTTTTTTTTTTTTAAGGGAATTTTTTGGTTTTTTTCTCCCTTTTCCTTTCCTTTTTTTAAAAAAAAAAAAAAAAAAAAAAAAAGGGAGGGGGGGAGAGAGGGTTAGAGAACGAGGAGCCTCTTTACTTCCAAATATTTCCACTTTTAAAGAAGGAGAAAGAGTTGTAATTATCTCCCTGCTGACTGGAAATGAGTGTCTTGATGTGGGTTTCTTTTGGGGAGAGGAAGAAAATATCTCTCAATAAATGCAGAGGTTGTCGCTTTATTTTTTTTAAATAAAAATAATAATAAAATAGCACTGATAGCAATGCGAGCTGCTCTGGTGGAATAGTTCCTGAGCTAGCCCAACACGTGGGAATAAATGAAAAGGCGGGTGCCCTGGGGAGAACTAAATGTGTAGAAATTATTTTAAAAAATTGGAAAAATCAGGATGGCAATCTGCGAACATAGCATAAACTGAATGTGCAGAGGGCAAAAGGCAGCGAATGTAGGACATGGGACCATCCACTTGGAGAATCCCCTTCTTAAGCCCCATGTGGGAGAGAGGGAGGGAAAAATAAAATGAAGGGGAAAAAAATAATAAAGAACAATCCTCCAGACAACCCCCACAAAACCTCCAGCATTGCAGACAGGGGCCGAGGAGTCAGGTAACCAGCAGCCCGAGCTTAAATGTCCTCCCTGCGAAAGGTGCAACTCAGCTGAGCGGACACCCCCAAGGCAGGGCAAAAAGTACCCCCCAGGAAGCAGAATGCAGAATGCAATGCAAATAGGATAGAATAGAGCAAAAATAAAGCAAAATAGACATGTTTTTATATATTATTCCAGAGATCATGAGTGAGGGAGCATCTGGGCTGGGGGTGCGGGATGAGGGAGCACGCCCGTGCACGCAACCAGGGCAGGGAAGAGGGAGCCATGTGCAGCTTGCACCCCCTTGGCCTAACTCACTGCTAAAATTCCGATTTCCACGCGATAAACTCCGTGTCAGCGGGTGCAACCACCTTTGTGCCTCTCTAAATCGTGCTCCCCATCTAAAATACATCTATATTACATGTTACTATCAAACGTCAGATGGTACCGGCACCCTTGTGTGCTCATCCTTGTGAGCAAAAGGAATTTACAGGAACAGGGCCGGGTGGGTGCCCCCTAAACCACGGAAAAGCCAAATATTATTTCAAAGAGGAAGAAATTCCCTGGCTTATCCCTTAGCATTTTCCTCCTGACCAAGTGGGGTAGTGGCAGCACCGTGAAAGGTCTTTTTAGACTAGGGAAAAAAAAAAAAAAAAAAAAAAAGCTATTGCTGGCAGCCAGTGGGACATCTCGCGTGTCATCCTGGAGATATTGCAAAAATAAACTCGCTTTTCCAGGTCTGGGAGAGCTTCTAGGGAAAGTATTGGAGAGCAGAGGTTGTAAAAAGAGTTTATGGGCCTATGAAATGGTGGGAATTTTTACTTTTTATGACTATGTTCTTAGATTACTGCTGGTAGCAGTCATGTGGATAATTATTATTTTAAGCCCATTGCTATAGTTTTATTTGCTGAAACTCTTCCTTTTTTTTCTTAATGTGAGAACAGCAGCAAAAAAAAAGCAAAGGAAATGACCCCCTTCCAAAATAAACATATTAAACTCTTCTGTAGGTCACTTAAAATATTTAGGTAAGATGTGCTAATTAAACAGGTTTCTTAGTCGAAATATATCTGGGTACGGAGGGGGGAAGGGGAAGGCAGCTGTGTGCACTGATTTTTTTATTGCAAACAACGCAAAAATCTTCTTTCTCAGACAACCCCGTCGCAAATTGGATTCATGCGCGCTCCACGAGGAAGAAAAGATGCCCTTACACAAAGTATCAGACCTTGGAACTGGAAAAAGAATTTTTATTCAATATGTACCTTACACGGGACCGAAGGTACGAAGTAGCCAGAGTCCTTAATCTCACTGAACGCCAAGTCAAAATCTGGTTTCAGAACAGGCGAATGAAAATGAAGAAAATGAATAAAGAAAAAACCGATAAAGAGCAGCAATAAAGTTGGCCGGGGCCAGTCTATGAGAAACGAGCGTGGAAAAAAATAACATCAAAAAAAAAAAAAAAAAGCTGTTTTTTTTTTTGGGGGGGGGTGAGATGTTTCTGACTCTGAATGTGCGGATGAATGTTTAGCGTTATAGTCAAACACAGCGAGCGTTTTGGAGCACGAGTCTTTTCTAAAATTCAACTAAATAAAAGAAAGATGTCGGGGGGGGGGATTGTTTTTCTTTCTTCTTACTTCCCTCCCTCCCCGATTTGTCCTCCTCAGAAAACAAACACTCCAAGTACTTGAATACTTTTTTTTTTTTGTATTATATTTCCTAAATTAAAGTTAACCAGTATTTTTATTTTTTAATTTCGTGAGCTCGTGAGTTGAATATTTTGTACACACACAGGAAAAAAAAAAAAAAAGACTTAAGAGAATATGGCTCCATGATGTCCTGTCATAGTGTTGAGCGTTTCTGCTGTACCAATTTTGTGTATTTTATTCTTGTCTCAGAATCGTTCTGTAATATTGTTATGTTCGCTATTGTAGAACAGCTCTATGTAAATATACCTAACGTCATGGGAAGGAAAAAAAAAGAAAAGAGAACAAACAAAAATCTCAGCATGTAGGTGTCCTTTATTTTTGTGTATATATATATGTTTATATATATATATATATATGCACTTATTTATTTATTCGAGCAGAAGGGCTGCGCTGGTGCCGGTGGCCGCAGCTCGGGCAGAGGCGGGACCGGGCACCGGCGCAGCGGAGTTTTCCGCTTCCTTCCCCAGCACTTTCCTATTTCGCAGTATCATAATAAAAGGCGCTGAGGTAAGGGTTTATAAGTGCTATCCATTTTTTCCCCTTAGATTGGGATAATTAATTGTACTAATTTATGACCCCAGGCGATCGAAGTATATGTAAAAAGGCTAAATATGGATGCTGGGAAGAGAGGCGCTGGCAAAGGCAGCCGCTGCTTGCCAGCCACTCCCGGGTCGCTCCCGCGATATCGATGGCGTTGCCAAAAAACCTGGAGCGTGGCTGGAAGTGCCACTTCTTGCCAGACAGGCTGAGCTGCGCAGGGAGGAAAAAAAAGAAAGAGAAGGGAAGAGGGAGGAAATCATATATTCATATGTATATATACATATATGTATAAAGGATCACGGGGGAACAAAGGAAAAAATAATAAAAAAAAGAGGATCACGGGAGAGCAAGGAATGGTTGAGAGAAAGACTAAATACTCGCTGCATTATTTTGGGCTGAAAGGCAATCTCTCTCCCCTCTCCCCCCCCATTGGTCCCCCCACCGCTTCCACTTTCCTTTAGCTTTCCACGGGATATTAATAAATAAGTAAATAAATAAATGAACGGCTGTTTTGCTGCGGAAAGGTCACCCCCTCCTTCCTGCCAGGGCTAAAATGGGAGGGGGAGTTAAGTCTGGAGCTCCCGTGGTTTGTGCCGAGGCGAGAAAACTCGCGGCCCCCGGGGCGTTGGAGCCGGGATTTCTCAATGGCTTCTTCCCTGGGCGCTTTCCAGGCTGCTGAATGAGAAACGAGAGGCAGGAGATGGTATAAAAAATGAGCAGTGAGGGATGTTTAATCATAAAAACTTGTTATAGGGCCCTTTCTTTAATGAAATGAGTGGAGCGGCGTTTTAATCTTCCTAATCAAAACCAGACCGGGAGAACGAGATACGTTTGTCGCCCTCGTCCCAGTTTCTCCGCAATCAAGAAATCTGGAAGTGATTACTTCTGCTGATCTCATAAAATATTGCTCCTTAATATTTCTCCTTCTTAAACATTTGGAGGCTTTTTTCCCCCCCCTACTCCTCTGATTTGTATCCCAGCTTTAATTATTTATTTATTTATTGGTAAGTGTGGGGGCTATTTTTGGTCACTGCAGAGGGACACGGTCTATCAGTGGAACATCGATGGAGCAAGGGGGGAAGCTATAAGCCCCTTTTACAATCCCAGTTTTATGCCAGCTCTGTTTGGAAAACCTTAACAAGCGCAATGAAATGGTTTAGGTTGGAAAACATTTTAGCAGAGCAAAGATTTATGGACAAAAAAAAAAGAGAGAGAGAGAGAGAGAGGAAGAGAAAGAGAAATCTTTCCACCTCAGTCTTGTCAATTCATTTATTTTTATCTCTCCCCTTTCCATATCTCGCTTTCTCTTTATTAATTTATCCCGAGTTTATGATTAAAAAAGCAGCTTTGAAGGGCTGGGAAGCGGTTTGCCCTTGTCTTTGTGAAAGGGACGACATGGACCCGTTTTCTTATTAATTAAGGGCAGCTCATAAGCGTCGTTCGGTGCTTTGCAGAAGGCGAATCCCCCTGGAGCGGAGGGGGAAGAGAGATGGGAGGGGGGGCGCAGATGTCAGCCGATGTTTAGCGATGTTGGAAAGGCGTGATGTATGGAAGTTCATTTTGGCCCCTCTTTCATTGAGAGCGATCCCATTTCCACTGCGGCCATGGGCTTCTCCCTCCCTTCTTCCTTCCCTCCCGACCCCTCTCCACCATGTCTTGCCCCCCCACGCCCCAATCCCCCCCTTCCCTCCTCTCAGCCCCGTCCGCAGCCGGCACTGTGGCCGCGCGTCCCATTAGAGCCGACGGGCAGTGCAGGAGATGCCCTTTTGTCTCCATAGAGCCCGAGGCGAGGCGGGGGGATGTAGCAAGGATGGATTTATCCCCCTCTCCCTTTTTTTTTTTTTTTTTTTTTGTAGCTGGGTTGGGCCCGGGTATCTCTCTCTCCATATATATATATCTCCATATACACTTATATAAAATAAATAAATCCCGGCGCAGTTTTAGTTCATGTGCAAGGCTCCCGGGATGCGCGGCCGCATGGCAGGGTTACACCGGCTATAAAATGCCATTTGGCCCTGCTGGGAGACTGCTCGGCCATTGAATTTCTCCGCTGCCACAGCCTCGCTTTTCCCGGAGCGGGGGGAGAGCGGGCTTAAGAGTGGGGGGAGAGCAAACCCACAGCGTGGAGAATGTAAAAAAAAAAATAATAACAGCAATATAATAAAAATATATAAAAAATCCACTGCAGAGCAGCACATCCTGTGGTCACCATTTCTAGGGGATTAATGTATCAAAATGTTCCGATTTGGGCATCCTTTGACATATGGCGTGTGTGTGCATATTGATACAGCTATTGTGTGCCGAAGGAACACGGGGGGAGCTTGGGGGCTGCCGAGCTGGTCCTACAGCCCGCCTTGTGCTCATATGCTCGGCCATATCTATATTTTGTATAGATATATAAGGGTGGACATCGTGCTTGTGCCTAGATGTGTGCATAGGGGAATGTTTCGCGTGCACGCGCCGCTGTTTGGTTTTTAATTTTCTCCTTGTTGCTTGGGGGGTGTGCACAGCCTAAGGGGTCCTTCAGCTACCCAAAGGTTCATTTTTT